AAATAAATAAATAATAAATATACAATAGAAATAATAGACGAACAATCATATTTCCAAGTGTATTTTATACCTAAAATATATGTGTCTTATGATAAATTTTTATTATGTCACTATACTATGTTTGAGGTTATCAGTAACTTTATCAGAATAATAAATGGAAACTTCTTAGAAATCCCCCCTGCAGAGTTCAGAGATGAATAAGTACACATTTGTGAAATAGTAATGTACTATATTAATAAATTATACTTTGCTTTTGTATAATATAAATTTTAATTCATCTATGTATTATTACTGAATAAACTAGACAATAACAAAATTAAAAAATATCCTTTATTTAGAATATGACTGAAATAATTTATAAGAATGTCTGGGAAATAGACTCAGAACTTTTTAAATTAATGAAAAAAGAGAAGAAGAGACAAGAGTCTGGTCTTGAAATGATTGCCAGTGAGAATTTTACATCTCTTAGCGTACTGCAATGCTTAAGTTCTTGTCTTCATAACAAATATAGTGAAGGATTGCCTGGCAAAAGGTATGTTGTTTATAATGTCATCATTATCCATTAAATATTTGTGCCATTATCATTATCATTTATATAATTATTATCTGTTAAAATATTTTTTCTTTATACTTAGATATTATGGAGGAAATGAATATATTGATGAGATTGAATTATTGGCACAAAAACGTGCTTTAGAAGCATTTAATTTAAATCCAGAAGAATGGGGTTGTAATGTACAACCATATTCAGGAAGTCCAGCTAATTTTGCTGTTTATACTGGTTTAATTGAGCCACATGGTCGTATAATGGGATTAGATCTTCCAGATGGAGGGCATCTTACACATGGTAATTCAATTTTTTTGTCTGAATGTATAAAAATATTATAACCTGTGAAATTGTGAACTGTAAAGGTTTTGTTTTCTAGGTTTTTTTACTTCAACAAAAAAAGTTTCTGCAACATCAATATTTTTTGAATCAATGCCATATAAAGTTAATATTGAAACAGGTTTAATTGATTATGATAAGCTAGCTGAAGAAGCAAGATTGTTCAAGCCTAAAATTATTATAGCAGGTGTATCTTGTTATAGTAGATGTTTAAATTATAAGCGATTCAGAGAAATAGCAGATGAAAATAATTCATATTTATTTAGTGATATGGCACATATATCAGGATTAGTTGCTGCTGGATTAATTCCCAGTCCATTTGAATATAGTGATGTTGTATCTACTACAACTCATAAAACTTTGAGGTACTTGCTAATTTAATAGCATTAACTTAATATTAAATAGCTCTTCATGTTATTATAAAATGTAAATGTATTTTATTTCTTATCATTTTCAGAGGACCACGAGCTGGTGTTATCTTTTTCCGTAAAGGAGTTAGAAATATTGACCAAAATGGTCAAAAAGTTATGTATGATTTGGAAAATAGAATTAATCAAGCTGTATTTCCAGGTCTACAAGGTGGTCCTCACAATCATGCAATTGCAGGAATTGCTACAACAATGAAACAAGTTAAATTTCCAGAATTTGTTCAATATCAAAAACAAATTATAGCTAATGCAAAGAGACTATGTTCAGGGCTTCAAGAGCACAATTATAAAATCAGTACAGGTGGTACTGATGTTCATATGTTACTCGTAGATGTACGATCTGCAGGTACTACAGGAGCTAAAGCAGAAAAAATTTTGGAGAGTATTTCCATTGCTTGTAATAAAAATACTGTGCCTGGTGATAAAAGTGCATTGAATTGTAGTGGTATTAGACTTGGCACACCTGCATTAACAACTCGTGGTTTAGTTGAAAAAGATATTGATAAAGTTGTTGATTTTATACACAGAGGTATGTGTACATAAGTATTTGTTTTTCAAAATAATAGAGTTAAAAACAATATTAGAAAATGCATAACATTCTCCATACTTTTTAGGATTGTTACTTTCTAAAGAAGTATCTAAAATTTCTGGTCCTAAACTTGTTGATTTCAATAGAGTATTAAGTACTGATGTTGATGTAAAAGCAAAGGTTGCAGCTTTAAAGGAAGAAGTAGAAACTTTCTCTAGAAAATTTCCCATACCTGGTCTTGAAACATATTGATTGTGTTTTCGTTTTGCTCTACATCATACTTATACATTGCCTTCCCTATAAAAGATTTTTATAAAAAAAAAAAATTGCCTGTAAGGAACATAAATATATACATAAATAAATCTCCTATGAAATACGTGTTTATATACATACATAATATTTTTATAGATATAAATTATTTAGAAAATTT